GATTTATAGAGCGGACGCATTTTAACTGGTACACGAAAAAGTTCGTTAAGAACATCCGACCCTGCGCAGGTTCGAACCCTTTTATTTTGCTGCTGGTCTCCTTCCCTACCTCTAAGCTACAGAACCATGATACCTTGGAGCTTAAGTGCTGTTTGTAATATGATAGTCTGTTAATATCCTTTCCTTAGCATTGACTGTACTTATTAGCTGGATCAAAATGAACATATTTTCTCGCAACAATTGCATCGCAACAATATATGCAACTTAGATGAGAAAAAAAGAAAGTTCATACTATAACACAAGTTATGGTTGTGTAATTATGACTTGCGAATAAGCCGAAGCTTTTTTTTTTTCTTTCAGATCCTTTTATCGCACCACGCGACATCTTTTTTTTTAAGACTGTGGTCGGAACATTCTGTGCTGGAAGAGCAACCGTCTATCCGTATTACGTCTTGACACCTGATAGGAACCGAATTTTTGCCCGACGATGAAAATTGAGAAAGAAAGAAACGCGCAATCAAAAAATCACTTGAATAATTTGAATATGCGTGAACACAATTTAGACTACTCTTGAAAAAAACGGTCAAACTAATCGAGATTTTACTTAGGTCAGTATCGCTTATAGGAATGGCATGACATGAAACGCTCAAAAAAAAAACTCCGGAGAAGGTAGGAGACACAGAAAAAACTTGCGACAACCAACTTAAGATAAAAGAGACGTTGCTCTTTGCACGCACAGGAGAAAACAACAAAAATCTTCAACTGCTGCTTTGAAGATTTTCTGAAATTTCATAAGAAATCGTTAAGACTATTCTAAGTCGATGCATCATTATACTCCTGTACATTCACATGGAACGCCAAACCTATGCCACTATGCTAGAGAGCCTAGCTAAGTACAAATGCTCGCAAAAAAAGCGAATGAATGCAGTGATTAAACAAATATAGTTTATATACCTTAATTACAAAAACTAAACAAATTGAGCGAAAACAATTTGCGGTAACTGTGCGGATATGCCCTGAAAATTGGCCCTATAAGCGCGCTTACAAAACGATAGACCCGTAGAGTAAAATTTCTTAAGTGCCGCAAGCCAATTATGAGTCTACACAATTGCTAAGTGACGCAAGCCAATTATGACGCATTAGCAGTCAATTTGAAAAAAAAACTTACCAACTAACATGCCTCGATTTATAGACCGGACGCATTTTAACTGGTACACGAAAAAGTTCGCTAAGAACATCCAACCCTGCGCAGGTTGGAACCCTTTTATTTTGCTGCTGGTCTCCTTCCCCACCTCTAAGCTACAGAACCATGATACCTTGGAGCTTAAGTGCTATTTGTAATATGTTAGTCTGTTATTATCCTTTCCTTAGCATTGGCTGTTCTTATTAGCTGGATCAAAATGAACATATTTTTTCGCAACAATTGCATCGAAACAATATATGCAACTTAGATGAGAAAAAAAGAAAGTTCATACTATAACACAAGTTATGGTTGTGTAATTATGACTTGCGAATAAGCCGAAGCTTTTTTTTCTTTCAGATGCTTTTGTCGCACCACGCGACATCTTTTTTTAAGACTGTGGTCGGAACATTCTGTGCTTGAAGAGCAACCGTCTATCCGTATTACGTCTTGACACCTGATAGGAACCGAATTTTTGCCCGACGATGAAAATTGAGAAAGAAAGAAACGCGCAATCAAAAAATCACTTGAATAATTTGAATATGCGTGAACACATTTTAGACTACTCTTGAAAAAAAAACGGTCATACTTAACGAGATTTTACTTAGGTCAGTATCGCTTATAGGAATGGCATGACATGAAACGCTCAAAAACTCCGGAGAAGGTAGGAGACACAGAAAAAACGTGCGACAACCCACTTAAGATAAAAGAGACGTTGCTCTTTGCACGCACAGGAGAAAATAACAAAAATCTTCAACTGCTGCTTTGAAGATTTTCTGAAATTTCATAAGAAATCGTTAAGACTATTCTAAGTCGATGCATCATTATACTCCTGTACATTCACATGGAACGCCAAACCTATGCCACTATGCTAGAGAGCCTAGCTAAGTACAAATGCTCGCAAAAAAAGCGAATGAATGCAGTGATTAAACAAATATAGTTTATATACCTTAATTACAAAAACTAAACAAATTGAGCGAAAACAATTTGCGGTAACTGTGCGGATATGCCCTGAAAATTGGCCCTATAAGCGCGCTTACAAAACGATAGACCCGTAGAGTAAAATTTCTTAAGTGCCGCAAGCCAATTATGACGCATTAGCAGTCAATTTGAAAAAAAAACTTACCAACTAACATGCCTCGATTTATAGACCGGACGCATTTTAACTGGTACACGAAAAAGTTCGCTAAGAACATCCAACCCTGCGCAGGTTGGAACCCTTTTATTTTGCTGCTGGTCTCCTTCCCCACCTCTAAGCTACAGAACCATGATACCTTGGAGCTTAAGTGCTATTTGTAATATGTTAGTCTGTTATTATCCTTTCCTTAGCATTGGCTGTTCTTATTAGCTGGATCAAAATGAACATAATTTTTCGCAACAATTGCATCGAAACAATATATGCAACTTAGATGAGAAACAAAGAAAGTTCATACTATAACACAAGTTATGGTTGTGTAATTATGACTTGCGAATAAGCCGAAGCTTTTTTTTCTTTCAGATGCTTTTGTCGCACCACGCGACATCTTTTTTTAAGACTGTGGTCGGAACATTCTGTGCTTGAAGAGCAACCGTCTATCCGTATTACGTCTTGACACCTGATAGGAACCGAATTTTTGCCCGACGATGAAAATTGAGAAAGAAAGAAACGCGCAATCAAAAAATCACTTGAATAATTTGAATATGCGTGAACACATTTTAGACTACTCTTGAAAAAAAAAACGGTCATACTTAACGAGATTTTACTTAGGTCAGTATCGCTTATAGGAATGGCATGACATGAAACGCTCAAAAACTCCGGAGAAGGTAGGAGACACAGAAAAAACGTGCGACAACCCACTTAAGATAAAAGAGACGTTGCTCTTTGCACGCACAGGAGAAAATAACAAAAATCTTCAACTGCTGCTTTGAAGATTTTCTGAAATTTCATAAGAAATCGTTAAGACTATTCTAAGTCGATGCATCATTATACTCCTGTACATTCACATGGAACGCCAAACCTATGCCACTATGTTAGAGAGCCTAGCTAAGTACAAATGCTCGCATAAAAAGCGAATGAATGCAGTGATTAAACAAATATAGTTTATATACCTTAATTACAAAAACTAAATAAATTGAGCGAAAACAATTTGCGGTAACTGTGCGGATATGCCCTGAAAAATTGCCCTATAAGCGCGCTTACAAAACGATAGACCCGTAGAGTAAAATTTCTTAAGTGCCGCAAGCCAATTATGAGTCTACACAATTGCTAAGTGACGCAAGCCAATTATGACGCATTAGCAGTCAATTTGAAAAAAAAACTTACCAACTAACATGCCTCGATTTATAGAGCGGACGCATTTTAACTGGTACACGAAAAAGTTCGTTAAGAACATCCAACCCTGCGCAGGTTGGAAACCTTTTATTTTGCTGCTGGTCTCCTTCCCCACCTCTAAGCTACAGAACCATGATACCTTGGAGCTTAAGTGCTATTTGTAATATGTTAGTCTGTTAATATCCTTTCCTTAGCATTGGCTGTTCTTTTTAGCTGGATCAAAATGAACATATTTTTTCGCAACAATTGCATCGCAACAATATATGCAACTTAGATGAGAAAAAAAGAAAGTTCATACTATAACACAGGTTATGGTTGTGTAATTATGACTTGCGAATAAGCCGAAGCTTTATTTTTTCTTCAGATCCTTTTGTCGCACCACGGGACATCTTTTTTTAAGACTGTGGTCGGAACATTCTGTGCTTGAAGAGCAACCGTCTATCCGTATTACGTCCTGACACCTGATTCGAATAGAATTTTTGTCCGACGATGTAAAATTGAGAAAGACAGAAACGCGCAATCAAAAAATCACTTGAATAATTTGAATATGCGTGAACACATTTAAGACTACTCTTGAAAAAAAAAACTAACGGTCTAACTTAACGAGATTTTACTTAGGTCAGTATCACTTATAAAAATGGCATGTCATGAAACGCTCCGGAGAAGGTAGGAGACACAGAAAAACCGTGCGGCAACAAACTTAAGATAAAAGAGAAGTTGCTCTTTGCACGCACAGGAGAAAACAACAAAAACCTTCAACTGCTACTTTGAAGATTTTCTGAAATTTCATAAGAAATCGTTAAGACTATTCTAAGCCGATGCATCATTATACTCCTGTACAACCACATGGAATGCCAAACCTAAGCCACTATGCTAGAGAGCCTAGCTAAGTACACATGATCGCATAAAAAGTAAATGAATGCAGTAAGATACCTTAATTACAATATTAGATTAATTTGAGCGAGGAAACTTTGCGGTAAATGTGCGAATTTGCCCTGAAAAATGTCCCTATAAGCGCGCTTACATTGAGCTCCGTTTTTTTAAGGCCAGTCGCTCTGCTTAAATGCTGATTTAGTATTTTTGTTTTAATGCAAAACGATAGACCCATAGATTAAAATTTCAAACACACAAAAAACAATTTTTTCGTTCCCGTTAAAATATAGCCAACAGTTAACTAGAGAACTGTTAATGAACGCAAGGAACAAAAACAAATGCAACTTTGGATTTTGAAATGAAGAAGTTGCATTCACAGCTCTTCGAATTCCTAAAAAGAACTTACGATTGGCACTTTTTTGATAAGATTAACCCAATTTGAGCGCGCTGGATCAGTATACTTTAGTTCTACTGCAAAAACGAAAACCTAAAATCCACTTTTGAATTTAGATTTGCCTTCCTTTTCTTCCAGATTTGCCTGCCTTCCTTTCAACAAAACTCCTTCTACTAGAAATCGCTCGCAAAAAAAGTATTTTCAGCGTAATGAGAACAAAACACGAGCAATGATTAATTCACCTGCAGCCGTGGTAGTTGCAATGGAAAAATTTGAGGACATCATGTTTGTATGAGATTGGTACTGGTTCCCGTTGCGAATGCTTGCGACTCCAGCTGGATCCATGTCAGTGCCGTGGAGCCGTTCCGGAGTAATCAAGTCATCTAGAGACTTCCGAAATGAGCTTCTTTCAACAACGGACGCTCCTCCTGAGGCTGTCCTGTTTGCACGCATTGCCTCTTCTAATATATCGGCTCCTGATCGGGCCTTGGAGTGTGAAATGGTGCCCGACAGTCTCTCTCTCAGACTGACTTTCTTCCGTGACTGGGATAGTGACGATGAAGTACACCGACTGTCTTTTCGTGTCGTTGATTCATTCACGAGGGACAAGGTTCGTGGTTTCGGGCGCTGTAACACGGATGACATTGTATTTAGACACTGGTTAAAACTCAAAACTTCCAAGTAGTTTCAGAAGCTACACAGCAACATTCAATGGAAGTCAGGATAATTTTGAAGCTACAACTTTTTATTACAGTGATTACAACTGATAATTAAAGCGCTGAAACAGATGCTAATTTTGCATAGAAGCTTGAAAACTGCTGCGATGCGGAAGGTTCCAATTCCTTGCTAGTTTTCCTTTTCAAATCTTGGAGTCAATTTTTATGGGCTACACCATGAGTAAAATATCGGGGAAACGGCGTGGTTGCTTTTTTAGGCTGAAAAAAATACAACGGTATAAAAGATGTGTAAAATAGCAACAGGAAATCATTTTACGTTACGGCTGTTTAATCAAAGCTATTTGGAAAAAGCTCGCAAAAAATGCGTGCGCTAGTTAGGTTAAAAAAATTGACCGTTTTCTCTGCTACGTTTTAGGATTTTGGGAAACAGGAGATACTTTATCCCATTTTTGTATGCGGGATAGGGATAAGGATTACACACTAGGGTCAAACTTGCATTTTCTCACATTTTGCATTCGGCTGTAACATATTTAATTTGAATTATACTTTAACACACTCATTCTTTAACACACTCATACTCAGTCAACTGAAATTAACCCAACACAGGTAGTAGTTAATTTTCTTTTTATTTTAGCAGTATTTGCTAAGGACCTACTGCCTGTCACTTTTCATGGCTATTAAATATAATGACTATGACAACATATGCACTTGAATATGGCCTTACTGGAGCTTCGTCTGAGTCAGTGCACTCCTGTAATATGTGGGAAGCAGAGCTGCAACTCTCTGGCTGCATGAAGGTGCTTGGTCTAATAATGACGTCACACTTGTTTCCCACCTCTACTCCTCCATCTGAGAAGTCACAGCCAGTTTGGGAATGAAGAGCAGGGGGGTAGCTGCAGCTGTTCCTGCTTTCAGAGTAGAGCTGTGATCGAAGCACTGTAGGCTTGGGCAGCTGCAGCTGGGTACGGGGAGACGCAAGTGTATCATTGTGGTTTGAGTCGACTACGACTACTGTTTCAGTCTAAACATACACGACATGCATGGAAAACTTCTACTAACATACATACCGCTGTCAGTAATGGTGAATCGCAAACTTTTCGCAGCTGCCAGTGAAATTTGAAACATTTGCCGATTTTATGGCACTTCACTTTTAGTGAAAGACTCTCAATAGCAAGTGAGACACCTTTCACGTAAAAAAATATCAAATGACGTGTACATTAGGCATCGAAACTACTGCTGCCATTGCATTTGGAAAAATTTCTAAAACTGTACAGTACTTACTGGTAGATTGGAGACAGATTCGATCGAATCTGCGCCAGAGTCCGCCTGAAACAAAAAGCCAGTCATTCAGTCTTGATGTCAAACATCAAATAAATAACTTTTGGTTTAGCCTTGAGAAGAGCTTCCACGCATATGATGGTCCTACAAATCCCATTACAAGCATTTAAAGAACTGCACTAACAATCAAAAGCTATTACACGCTTTCGAGAATCATTACTGAATACTGAAGAAAAAACTGACACGAAATGTATGTTTACATTATATAAACTCTTACGTGTTTGTGTTTATTGGGAGACAGGTCACTATCGGTGGAGAGACTGTCGCAACTGCCCCCATCCAGAGCACTGTCTATACTCAAATGCTCTTCCCCCTTACCCCTCCCACTTTTTCCCCCCACGTCTCCCTCTGGGTGGCATTGTTTCCTACTTGTCCCTGAGTCCGTGTTTTCTAACTTTGTCTGCGGCCACTGCCCCGCGAATAATTTGTTGTCCAGGAACTCACTCCCATTCACTGGGGTCACGTTTTCATCCTCATTTCCATAACCCTCTTGCCTCTGATCTTCTAAAATAAACTTTCTTCCTTGTTATACCCAATTTTTTTCTTTTAATTATGATGCATTATCAATCGGTTGGAAAATTCCGTGCAATGCACACAGACAATTACATGAAACTTCACTCATAGTCAGTGAACTACTTGCGATGGAAACAGGACTAAGTTTCAACAGATATAACAAAGAGAAAATGCTGAAAACGGCGTTAAAATGTTCAAAAAGTACAGTGCTGATTTAAATTATACGGACAAAATGAACAAAACTTGAATTTTCAAACACGTTTTTCTCAATTTCGGTTGAGATTAGACAAAGAGTAAAAAGAACAAAAGCTGCTTATAAAATTCATAAAAATTCATATGGTGCAATTTTTTTTTCCGAAATTTAACCAAAAATTTAACCCAAAAATGGGTCATTTTGGCTTTTTCCAATTAATCAAGAATTTCGCTGAAAATACTTTGTTAATTGCTGAGAAATATACATCATAAGAAGCCTCTTACACAGCCCAACAAAGTTCTAGAAGGGTTCAATCTCCAAAAACCTGTAAAAAAGAATTTAATTTTGTTTGATAGCCAAGAAATGTGATTTTTAGTATATAAACCCAAAAATCTTTGCTTAAAAACAAATTTTAAACAAAAAACACAAATTTTTGGAGATTTAACACTTCTATAACTTTGTTGGGCTGTGTGATAGGCTTCTTGTGATATATAATTCTAATCAATTAACAAAGTAGTTTCAGCGTAATTCTTGATTAATTGAAAAAAGACAAAATGACAATTGGGGTAAATTATTGGTTGAGAATTTCGGAGAAAAATTGCTCCATATTAATTCTGATGAAATTCTAAGCACCGTTTGTTTTCTTCATTTTTTGTCTAAACCCAAATTACATAAAACGCGTTTGAAAATTCGAGTTTTGTTCGGATAATTTAAATCAGCACTATATATATTTCTGACTTTTTTTTATCAAAAGCTATCTTTTGTTGAACAAAAGATCTCTCACATACAGCTGAGCATACCATCAATTCGAATGTCTTGTATGCAGTGAATTGTAAACGACAAATGCTCATAGGTACACGAGAAGCAAATTGAAACCTCCGATTTTACAGCTTTAGTTTTTAAACATGTATCAAAGCTTTTCGTTCCTTTGCTGCTAGTTCTGTCTTTAATTTCACTTGAGACAAAAGTAAATCAAGTTAACACATTGGTGCGAAGCATAGCTTCGCGCCACTTGTGATACAACAAGTGGTGTGAAGGATCAATAGGTAAAACTTTTGTTTTGCTGGGAAAACTTAAAATTTATTTCCATTTCCGAAGTTACAAGTCGAACACATTGTGCGAAGGATCAATAGGTAAAACTTTTATTTCGCTGGGAAAACTGAAAAATAAGTTCCAAAAAACAGCAATAAAAAACAGTTTTAATTCGAAACATAGCAGGACAAACTAGCAGACAAAAAGTGAGGCGAAAGCCGCAAACTAGGAAAAAAAAAGTTTTGTAAATGTCGAGAAAAGCTAGATATACCAAAGTTTTTAGAACTTTGTCTTGAATTAAGTTCATGTTGAAAAACTAGAAAAAAAAACAAAATTTGAGAATTACATTTGCAGAGAAACAAAGCGGTATTACAGCCGACAACTTATGAGCAGACACCCGTTGAGCCAAAAGAGGTGTTTGAAAAACCCAAAATCTTCCAAAAAAAAATATTTAACTTCCCTCAAAATACTTATACGCAAAACAAATTTGTTTCGCTCATCCAACAGAGTGTTATAAAGCGACAAAAACTATTAGTAAAACCAGAAAAAAAAATCCAAAATTTGATAAATAATTCCGCAAAAAAATCTAGTTACTCGATAACCTCCAACGATAATGATTTTAAAATGGCATTCATGAATTGAGAAGAAAGCTCAACCTTCAAAAAAGTCGTGCAAGGGAAATTTAGCATTAAAAAATAAACAGACAGACGATGGTACAAAAAGCAGAAAAAATCCAGTTTGAAAAAAAAGGTCTCGGCCGGATTCGATCCTCAAGCCTTTGTGGTCTCGAAGTGTGTTGCTTCTACACCACGTGCGCTGGACGATTCATTGATTTTATAAAATGAAGCAAGATAAAACATCTGCGAAATCTTGTGAGCAAAGCTAATTGGGAAAAAAACTACCCATATGATGATCCATATAAGCTGACTTGACAATATCAAACCAGGCTAATGAAACATCTACAGAGGAGAAAAAATTGAAACATATTTTTTCGCTGTAGTTTTGGCATTTATTAAAATGTTAAAATAGATGCACTCAGAGAGAATCAAAATATCAAAAAAGTTACGAAAAGCCAGCTACTTATAACATTTTTGAAAAACTTCTGGAAACGAAAAAACTGGAACCGATTGAAAGTGATTTGTGATGTGGCAACTAAGATGAGAAAAACAGAGCAGACAACTTTTTTGGTTTTAAAGGATTAAGTATTTTGTTAGATTAGCTGTTAACCTGAAAAGTCTATATACAACTTGATAACCCTAGCTATTCGCAAGCGTAATAATTATTTCAACTTGGACTAATTTCTTAAGATATATGCAATTTTAGAAATTCTTTTGAATTGTTCAAAATCAGAAAAAAAATTTTTTTATTCAAGTATATTAGCATCTGCATCCACCGTTTTTTTAACAAAGAAAATAAAAAAACTAACTAACGAAACTTCGTGTGAAAAAATGTTTTCTAAAAAAACCTGATTGACAATCATGCACCTCTTATGGAAGTCCTAAACCATTTGATCTAATCTAGCAATAAAAAACAGCAATATCTGTGTTCTCAACATTAGGAAAAATAACCCAACAATTCCCAAAAAAACAAACAAACTTGCGAAAAAACTTGTTACCAAATGAACTGCAAGCTCATCGGGAAAATTTGGGCACAACTCTACATTCACTGCTTCCTTATGACTGAAAAAATGGACAAAGGCAAAGCGGAGCTTCGCATTATCGCGATAATACAATTCAAGAAAAAGAAAAAATTCAAAAACGTCAAAAATAGAGCTAACTTTGAAAAATATATATATAAAAATACCATAAAAAGTTCGGGAGAAAACTAGCATCGAAGATTATTTATCAAGCTCTAACGAATATTAAAAAAGCTATCATGCTCAAAGTATGTCTGTTGGAGTATTTCTAACAGAAGGGACTAGGAAATGAGTGCTAGTACTCTGAAAAAACGTCTAGTACTCGGTTCAGGGAATAGAGATGTTTAATTTAAAAAGGAATTGAACTCTTTAATAAGGAATTGAAGTCTTTAAAAAAGGATTGAAGTTTTAAAAAAGTTTTCAAATTTCGTTGCGGCTGAAATGATGTTTTTAGAGGTGGTCAAATGATTGCAACAGAAAGATTACTTCCACCTCCTTCCATGTATTAAATTCCAATGAGGTTTATAAATCAAACTGTGCAGCACAAGAAAATTGCAACAGTGATGTGGTATACAAATCATAAATCGTGCTGCACAAGAAAATTGCAACAGTGATGTGGTATACAAATCATAAATCGTGCTGCACAAGAAAATTGAAACAGTGATGCCAAATAGAAAGAGAAATAATTCTCTGATCTGGCCGAAGCAAACTTCATCCAAATGCAACACATTTGCAAGTCAACATTGAAACTGAGGGACACTAAAAGAACTATTCGGTCGGCAGATACTGCCCTAGATTTTCTGAACATCAAGAAAAAACTTCGATTAATCGAACCTAAAATTTTTGACATACACACTTTTTTTTACTAATAGCCTGGTAATTTTACACATTTAAGAATTTTTCCAGTATCAATAGCGCTGAAGGTTCACGAACAATCACAGTTCCTAAGAATCAGCCCAACTGCTGCTAAGACAATTCGGCCATACACAGGTTGAAAGCAAGTTATGACACAAGCGGAGCTGAGCTTCGTTCCACTTGCGATACAACAAGTATAAGATTGAAACAGCATGACGGTGAATAGCAAAGAAGGCTCCCAGCGAAGAAAAAAATTAAAGAGGAACTACGAAAAAAACTATAAAATAACTAAGTTTTTTCATGATTAATTTTATTTGAATTTTTTCAAGAGGACCTTGTGAGATTAATATTGAGCATTCGAAAATATAGAGCCAGAGTCTTATCGATCTTTAAAAAAAAACCAGAAACTTGTAGGAAACAAAGGTAGAAATGCCAACAAAATTACAACCGATAGCCAATCTGCTGAAAATCAACAGGAAGATAATGCTTTAAAAGAGCCACGAGTGCTTTACATGTAGTGAATTCCAGACCCAATTCGGAAAAAGAACCGACGTGAATAAAGTCAACAACCACAAAGCCCAAACTTTGGAGCACAACACAAACATAACACAACCAGCTGGCAGACAGAAATTGAGACAAAAGCCGCTATGTTAAAAAATATGATAATTACTAGAATATGTTAAATTCTAATTGCTTGAAAAAAAATCTAGCAAAATTGAAGTTTTTAAAAAATTATGATTTCGTAAAATTCATAACAAAAAACTTTTCAAAAAAATGCACCCGAAATTTTCAAAAATATATATAGCTCAATTACTTCCATTGGTGGCCTTCGGAAAATTTGAGGAAAGCCTAATTTTCAAGTATCAGTGAAACGGGAACTAAGCCGGAAAAAAACGAACGATTGCAAGAAAAAGCCGGAAATTTCCTTAAAAAAACAGAAAGCGGCTGGATTCGAACACTTTAAAAGCTTTTGTCGTCTCGGGCATTTGTGTTACCTCTACGGCAGATAATTTGACTTTTATTATGATAAACAACTAGAAAGCCAAAATTTGATTTAGATTTTTTAGATTTTGATTTAGATTTTTTAAATCGGAGGGTAGTTTAGATTTTTCAAAAAACTTTTGTTGGAAAACCACTGTTATAAAACCAACATACCTAATAGGATTTACTCAGTTCCGAATAACTGCCAAAATTTTTTGAATCAGATAAAATAATAAAAGCAACTCTTAACGTAAACACAAGGCCAATACCGTAGCCATGCAATAATTAACCATG